CAATTATTGACAGAAATCAAGTCTTCATTGAGTTTTGAAGGAAAAAAGAAAGTAAGAAAGAAAACAAAAGGAGAAGAATTCTCAAAAGCTAACAAAGTTATATACTCTTGTATTATGTGATAAAATTTTAAAGCATTTGAACATATATTTGTTTTTAAGGATAATTGTGAAAAATGGGTACACCCATTGTCTGACACAGCTATTAACGGCACCATTGATAAGTCATATATACTTTTGTTTTTTTAAATCTAGAGGACTCTGAACTTGACAGATACGTTTTCGTACACCCACACATTCCTCACAATTGCACTTAACATGTCACAAAATTTCTGAATGATTAAAAATGCTCCCTTCCACTAACACAAGGGCAGCTATTATTACTTAGCATTGTTATTATCAATATCCTTATTAACCTGCCAAATAATGTAGGATGTAGACCCACCGGGACAGTGGAGGGTTTGTAATCGTTTCTTCTCCTCTCAGTGGTGTGGAATAAACTGTGTGCCTGAAAGGGCACCATTGAAAGAAACAGAAAGGAATCTCTTCCATAATGCTGGAAATCAGACTTAGCTGGCTACTTTCTCCAGGAGGACAATTGACTCTAATTAAGTCCACTCCACATCCTTTGGGCTCCAACTGTTCTGCACCTGAACACTAAATTGCTCTAGTTCTGCTCTATCTTTTTTTTGCCACATCTTTTAATTGCAAATCTATTTCTTTTTCCTTTCATTTACTTCTCTTCTCTTAAGTAAGAAATGAGGGAAATGAGACTGGCATTTTTATTTGTTTGCTTTCTGTGATCACTAGGAGTTCTCATCATTTTTTTTTTTCTAATGTTGCCTTCCTAGTTTCACACCTGTGAAATTTTACTGCAATGGCTCAAACTTTTCTTGTTAAGAAATAGATGACAGGGAAGCTTTTGATAATAGGAAGGGAAGGAATTAAGTAGGAGAGTTTTCAAGAACCAGGCTTGTATAAAAATCAAAACCAATAATGTTCGTTATTGGAGAAAACAAAAAAAATGCATTTTTGCAAAAAAAAAAAGAAAAGAAAGTAAAAGAGAAAAAAGAGTTATGCTGTGTCCCTAATTTAAAGGTGCTTAATATTTTTTTATGGGTAGTGGGAGGACTGGGGGGGGTGTGACTGGTTCTAGATATCACAAAGCTAGTTTTACTCTCTCTGAGGAGAACTCAGTGTCACATTTGGGAAACCATCTCAAGCCATTCCATCTCTCCTTCCATGATATAACTAAGGACAGCCATCTATAGCTATATAGAGCAAGGTCCTATTTGCATTAGAAGCTTCAACCAAAACTTGAATGCTCAATTTCCAGCCATTTCTGGTGCACTGGCTCTCTTTGGGATCAACTACCTAGCCACTTTGGCACTCCCTGCTCCTTTGGTAGTTTTTCTAATATAAGTAAAACTTTCTAATTCCTCTTTGTGGAAGGCAGGAGGACTTGGCTGAAGCAGAAAACAGATGTCAAACCCAACTGCAGCTCTAGAGCTCCCAGAGACAGAACATCCTTCCCATCACGCTTGGAGAATTGATTGCCCAACTTATGAACAGCATCCTGTAAGCAAAGGTGTGGCCTTCACAAGAAAGAAGTCCAGTCTTCCTTATGACACAAAGCTTCCCCTTTACTTCCATTCCATTGAGCATAAAGGCAGCCCACAACAGACAATCCTGAATTGAGCTCTCTACCTAAAATATGTGAATGCGCATTTTGACGCCCACTCCCCTACAGCTCCAAACTCCCTAAGCAAAATAAGAATGAGAAAAGCTAAACATGCTTGTTTAGTCTTGCAGATGACTATATCAGGCACTTGACATTAAATGACTAAAAACCAAGCTTGGCCAGGGCCCTACCACTAGCACTTCCATTGGCATTACTTTGGTGGAAGTACATATTAACTTATATTGGGAAAGGGAAGAGTTTAAGAATAACATCCTTTGCTGAATTCCTATTACCTAAACCCTTATAAATCTTATTTGGTTTTCTTTCTTCATGGAAACTCCACAATGAACTATTGGTTGCTTGAAGACTTCTTTCTTTCTTTCTTTCCTTCTCCTTCTCTTAACCTTTCCCACCCTTACCATTGCCATCCTGAACAAATCTTTCCAGTAGGTCTTCTCTATCCATGTGTAAAGTTGGAAAAGCATTTACATAAGTATGGATGTTATTTTTAGTAAACATTTACTGTATATATGCTTTAAGATGTTGGGTAAAAGCTACCATTGCAAAAGCTATTCCTCACCAAAGTAACTCAAATAACATAGAAGCTAGAGTATGGTGTGACAAAGGCATATTCATTTCTATGTCCTGGTTGTCTTGGGTTTTATATACTTGATTTTCTTTGTCCAAAAGGATTGACTGTAACATGTTTTACCCTCTGAAACATGACCAGAAGAGGTGTCTCCTAGTGTCCAGTAGAAGGGAGCAGAGCAGAGTGCCATAGTGATGCTAAGTCCAGCCTCATTAAGTTAGAAAATTTCTGATCATCTGCTTACCCAGAGAAGGAAAGACACCTCATTTATTACAAGTCTTGAAGTGAGGAACAGGCATAGCTCATCCATTTCAAGCACCATGTTATCCAAAACCAGCCACTCTCCTCTCACAGCTTCCATATTTATTTTAATCCAGTATTAGCAAGAGACTGAAATGGTATGCTTACTTCTCATGCAATGTCTAATCCTAATCCAATTCCAAGTGCTGAGTGCAGTAACAGACCTGAACGATGTTATGTCTGACCTTTAATTCTGACTTTGTGCCTGCTTATGACAGTCTCTGAAACTTGAAATCAATGGACTGCTTTTGGCATATCATGTATGATCCCTGAAGCTGGTTCTGGGCAGCTTATTAGGAAATTCACATGTCTGTTTATAGCTAGTGGGAGCAATATTCATTTTGCTCACCTCAGGTGTCCTCTTACCGCAGTACCTAACTTTTGTAAGCCAACACAACCTACAATTGCATATATATATATATTTCCCCACTCTAGTGCTCATGTGTTAACATACACAAAAAGAGCACTTATATGGGAGGAAGAGAGATCAACTAAGCATTAATATAAGTAAAACTTTCTAATTCCTCTTTGTGGAAAGCAGGAGGACTTGGCTGAAGCAGAAAACAGATGTCAAACCCAACTGCAGCTCTAGAGCTCCAGTTTTACCACTCTTCTTTTGTATTATAGACTCCCTTGTTTGTTGAATCCTTTTTGTCCTAGGAGACAATGGGGGAAAGATCAGATGTGCTTTTCCTTGTACACTAGATCTGCTTTGAACATAGAAAAGTGGGGATATTCTTCTGCTAAGCTACTAAAGAAGCAGCCTGTGTCAGAGGAAATTGTGTCTCTTACACTTTTCCCCCTTCTGTTTTCAATGTTGCATTAATCAAGTGTTTGGAAATTAAGTCAGTTGCTCAAGTACCCTCAGCTCAGAAGAGCTTCTGGAAACAAATAGCAGAGTTGTCAACACACCCGCCATGTAATTGGCCTCCATCAGCTTTTCACTGGATAGTTTTCAAACAGTTCAAGCCGGAAAGGAGACACTTGGCTATAGTTATCACACTTTGGCAAGTGGACTGCTGTCATTACATTGCAGAAAGATGTGTGTTTTCTTGCAGGTTCTTGCCGGCCATGAAGAAGGTCCTATATGTTCCCAACATGCACTTTCTTGAAAGGCTGAAAGAAGTGTGAAGGTTGGTACTTTAATCCATCAGCTGTGAAAGAAGAAATTTGGTTCTAATCAATGCTTCTCTGGGCCAATCTCTTTTCCAAGAAGGTGGTTTATGAAATAGAGTCTTCTGAGACTAGTGAGTGACTGATCTTGGTTTATCTGTTAGAAGAATTTAATTAGGGTAGATGGGTTTCTAAATTCCATCAAGCCCATGGCAAAGGATAGTGCTTTTCTATGTAGTTTACCTGTGAGCTCATTGGTTTTCATATCAGAAGCTTATAAGAAATTTTGAAGATGCCAATGTCTGCCCATGATAGAAGAGAAATTAATAAAATGGAATAGACACAACATGATTAGGGATATATGGTCATGAATTGGTAGTAAGCAGTGGAGTGAGAAATAGAAAGGACTGCTAGATAATTACACTGATAGAATGATAAATAGAGTAAATAGATTTCTAGGGAGAAAGGATGGCAGATAATTGGCTGAAGAGATGAATATCTTGTGGATATTTTGATAGATGCCTTGTTGAAACCAAAATAACCAGTCATCTATTGATAATTGTTATGAGTTTCATAGCATGTTTAGAAGTACTATCTTTAATACATTTGGCCATGTTTTGATTACTTCAGTTCTAGAATTTTAGTGGTGGAGTGAGTACATCATTCTAAGGCTGTGATTCTTAGAGCTTGTAGGGGAAATGAGTAGGGTAGAGTAATGAGAGAAGATGGCAGGATTTTACATACTTTCGCATATATACGAACATATGTATGTGTATATATATGGGTATGCCATGTACTCAACTAGATATGTGCATATGCACCTATATACTCATACATACATATACATGCATATATATGAGTACATAGGTGCATATATATGCTTATATATGAGTATAATGAGATAATAGATTAGAAAATGAAAATGTGAACCCTACTAGATAGGTAAAACAGGTAAAAAAAAGAACTAGATAATAATAAACATGGAGGAAAGGATATGTACATTATAATCAGGATAATGATTGTAAGCTTCAAAGATGAAGATAATTGAGTGAATGCAACTTTTGCTTTGTACTACATTGTGAGTCAAGTTGGGTCTTAAGGGCATTTACCATAAAGAAAGTTTCTGCACACTTTGAACTTATGGTTGTGTGTGTGTGTGCGTGTGCAAAATTTGTTGGTAATGGAAGGAAGAGAAGTACAATTAAAATAAAGTTTGTGGCCAAGATATCAGGAGCAGATTCCATTTCTAAAGACACCAATGACTGATTATCCTACACATCGTAGAACCCTTCCCACCCCTCCCCCCGAACCCCTCATTCCAACTGGAAAATAGTCAAATCATAAACTTAAAAAGAAAAATCAAGGAGGTGAAAAAATGAACAATGAAAAGAATCCCAAACTAGTTTCCCCTCTGCAGTGTAGATTAAAGTCTGTGATATGGAGAAGCAGGCGTTGCTCAGAGGACCTAGGATTTCTTATCAAAACTTGATGAAGAAGTGGGCAAAGAGGGTCCCTGAGAGCCAGAGACAAGCCAGTGCTCTAGAGGCCGAGTTTACACCATCAATGACTGCTCCAGGCCCTGTGAGGGGGGAAAGAAAACAGGTCTATTAGCATGTAACCCAAGAACACCATCCTTATTCCCCCAACAAGCAAGTGCATAGACATGCTTCTCTGTGAGCATTCCTCCAAGTTCCACCCTTCCCCTTGACCCTGCCTTGTCAGAGAACTAGAAAACATCTTTTGGGAGGATTTGGAAATCCTAAGGATAAGTGTTTGTGTTGTCTAAACCACTATGACCTGCTCTGTAAGGCTGGTTTTAAAAAAATGAATGGGACTCTCTGAGGGCAGTCATTTATTTCCACTGCTGCCAAAGTTAGACCAATATGCAAGGCTCCATAGTAAGGCACACCTTGAAGGTCTTTCATAAGTGTTGACTTTATTCTTTATCTATGGAGAGAGAATCCATCACGAACAGAGTTGAGCACAGGTAATACAAGCATAGGGGAAGAAAGGGTCCAGAAGAGTAAGAAGCAGGTGGGGAGCAGGAAGAGGAAGAAGGTATTATTGTAGCCAACTTTACATCCTCTATATGTGTGATTTAGGTATTGTGGAGCATCCTTCCAAAACTGCTGAGAAAGGAGGAATGATTATCCTTAAGACTTTTGTAGACTGTGATTGTGTCTCTTTTAGCTGTCAGTGCTGTCTTTCCACAGCAGCAAAGAAAATACAGAATCCTCAGAACAAACCACCACCTGGTGATTAATCCTGAAGGAGAATTCCTTTTTCCTCTTCTTTTTCTCTCTGACCCTTTCCCAAATCCCCAGGGAGTGATTCATATTCCATTAAGAAATATGACCACAAATACAAAACCATAAGCACTGATCCATTCTCCTCATTGGTTAGAGCCTCAGGAAGACAAATCAAATAAACTAAGCTTATCCTCACTGCATGCCTCGTGTCTAGAGCAGGTATACCCATGTTTTCTTTTGTCATAAACAAGACCTGTGGTGCTCAAGCAAAGTGTATTCCAGTGAGAGCAAAACAGAATATGGTCAAAGAATGAAAAGCCATGGAGGGACATTCCTGTAAGACCAATGACAACTGGGCAAGTCATGTAGTCAAGATGGCACGTCTCTTGTACTACCTCAAGCCAAGACTCTATCAATTCATTGAGAAGCAAATGTGCCAATTAGAAAGAAGCCAAGGAGGTACAGAGTTTCCTTGGACCAGACCCAAGTCACTTGCCTAGTCTATCAAGCTTATACATGGTCTCAGGCCTTGCCCATGAAAGAACTGATTCAGACCTTTTGCTTAGGAATAACGGGTCTCTCCATTCTGAGTGCAACAGATCCTACCTCAAGAATTTCAGCTGACTTACAATGTGTCCAGTGCTCTTCTGGACCAAAATGTTGTCCTTATTTTATGCTTGCAGTCTGGTTCCTGTGGCTCTGCACTATATTCTACTATATAATATACACAAACAAGGGCAGAGGCCAGAGCCTCTGGTCTCTGTGGAAGCTTTCCAATCATTGGTAGAAATTAAGCTGGTTCTTGGGCCTCTAGCAAGTATAATACACATCCAAAGGCATCATACTAATCAGCCTGGCCTACAAAATGTGCTAAGTTGCAAAATGCCTCAATTGAAGATATATTGTTTTTTGCAAGACAAGAATGATTGAGGGAATTTTATTTTGTCTTTTTGTTGTATGAAACTAGGTCTCCGTATGTAGCTAGGACTGATTTCAAGCTCCCAATCCTTTCAACTCAGCAGTTTTAGGGGTAGGGATGGGGCTAAGAGAAAGGGATAGATGGATGAAGAAGAAAAGAGGAGAAAAATGCAGACATGAATCCACTGCGGGGGTAGGATAAGAGTACATTAGAAGGTTGAAAGGGGTGACATTGATCAAGATATATTGTGTTTATAAACTGCTTTGTTAAATGACAACTCCTTTGTACAGCTACTTGAAGATAATAAATAAATAAATGGAAAATATATTTGTAAGAAAATGAGCAATGAAGATTTGTAAGACTCATGAGTTCTTTAAAAAATATCTCTCTCTCTATAGATCATTGTATGTACACAGTTGTGCCTCCATATTAGCACAGGTAGATACAGGGACCTTCTACAGATACCAAGTCAGCAGATGATGAAGTCTTTTATATAAATGCTGTAGTATTTGCAGAGCACCTACACACATCTTCCTGCATAGTTTAAAACATCTCTATATTATTTATGAAACCTATTGCAAGAAAATTCTATATAAATAGTTGTTGCTGTGTATAATTTAGGGAATAAAATGTTTGTTTACACGGGTACAATTCCTTCCTTCTTCCCTTCCTCGCTCCCTCCCTTTCTCTCTCCTACACTTCCTTCCTTCCATCCTTTCTTCCTTTCTTCCTTTTTCTCTCTTTGTCTCTGTCTCTGTCTTTGTCTCTGTCTCTCTTGCAATTCTGGAGGTCAAACCCAGGGCATTGCCCATCCTGAGTAAGCATTCTATCACTAAGCAACATCCTCAGACTAGGCATCATGGTATATTCAATCCGAATTCAGTTCAATCCAGGGATGCAGAACTAATGGATATGGAAGATTACATGAGCACATATGCTTTCTTTTAGAAAATCTTTCATTTTTTTGTATATGACATAGAGAAACTTCATTGCATATACATGCATATATGCATATGGTGTTGGTATTTACTGGAGAAACGACTGAATTCTATATTCTACTCTAGAGAATTAACATGATGAGTGGAGAAATCATTTTATTTCAGATTCTTCCAGTGGACGTGAGCATTTCTATGAATGTCATGCTATCAGTGCAAGTCGGGATATAGTTAAAGGTAAGAGAAAAGAGGAAGTGTACAAGGCAAATAAATCATAGGAGAGTTTAGTATGGAGAATGAAAGAGGAATCCTAAAGAGAACTGAGAGACGGTTGGTTGAAATACTTGTTGATCACTAGGTGGAGGCTTTGTAACTCTGCCAAAGAGTGGAACCCATAAGGCTGGTTTAGGAGGGAGACAGGTTTGTTGAGCTATTAACGGCATGTTCACAGAGTGTTCTCCATGTAGAATGCATGATTCTAACTTTAACTCCTTTAATATTTCAATCCTTTAATCATAAAATGCAAACTATATGAGATAGTGTCCAATGGCCACACAAGAAACAGAAACATGTCACTGTCCTCTAAGTCTGTGCTATTGATTCTTAAAACTCTAATTATTATCTATGGAAGATTGTACTTTGTGATGTTTACTGGGGAGCAGAGCATCAGGGGGTAATTGGAATAATGGATTGGGAACTTGATTTTCTGACACTGATGTTTCTCAACTGAGTGATGCCTCTTTCTGAGGACTTGGTCTTTTCATCTGCAATTTGAGAGGAAATGGGTTTTGATGGCTTGTGCGTTTCTTCTGCTGGTCACTTTCTAAGTTATTGTATAAGTGGTGACTTTACATCTAAACTGTTACTGTCTTCTTCAGCTGGTACATGGTGATTTTCATCACTACTGTATAACCATCTCATCTTGAAATGGGAGGAGGACATAACATTTCTAACCACTTATGCTTTCCTTTGTTATTTATTTTATTTATTTATTTTTGCAGGTACTGGGGCTTGAATTCAGGTCCTCCCAGTCTTTCTGGGTTTTCCTTCAGAGGTAGCATTTTACCACTTGAACCACGACTCCATTTTACTGATTTTTTGTTCATTTTTGCTGGTTAATTGGAAAAATTCTTTCAGACTTTTCTGCTTTCAATCTTTGATCCTTAGATCTCAGCCTCCTGACTAACTAGGATTGCAGGCATGAGCAATCAGGATCAAGCCACTTTCTCTTTTTTATATATACTTTATTATCTTTTGTTGTCTTTATTATCTTTGGCTTCAGGAAATTGTTTTTTGCTTTTTTTCTTTTTATTGTGAAAATACCATACAGAGGGGTTACAATTACATGAGCAAAGTAATGAATACATTTCTTATCAAGCATTGTTGCCTCCTCCTTTGTTTCCCCTTCCCATCCCTTTCCATCCCCTCCCATTACCCCCGTATGTCCTCTCCATGCCAAAGTTGTAAAGTTTGTTTTTTGACATAATGTCTTGTACATCTCATTGTTGCAATGGGTTAACCTGTATCCCTATTTAAACAATTTGTTTTTTCCCTTCCCCTCCACAAATTATACCAACATCAAATACAGTGAAAACATGGGTTATACAGTGGAGGAGGGACATACAAAGCAACAAAGAAATATCTTATAAATATGTTAGAAACAACAGCAAGAAAGAAAAAAACATTTGAGTCCTTATCTTAGGGTTCATTTTGCCTGTTTTGTTCTTCAGCAGGGATGAGGAGCATTTGCATGGCAGTATCAGTTGACAACAATATTTACTGCCAAAATGCCTTAGGTCAATCAGTCGAGGAAAAAATGATCAAGCTATAATAGCCAGAGAATTAATTTAATCCACTCTGACAGAGATTAAAACCAGCATTACTTCTCTCATACAGCCCCTGGACACATTTCAGATTTGGCTGTGGTCTACATGGCAGAGTTCAGCCTTTGTTTGGACAATGAAAACAATAACTCCCATTTGTCCTACACTCTGGGATGGAAGGAATACTGAGACAAAAGCCATCAGCAATGGCCAATGCATTTAATTGCACCTTTACACTATCTGAGGAAATGGAGAGTTGGGTGTCTCTTGATGGATTCTTTCTTGCTACAGTCACTTTCTTAATAGGCAAAAATTTAACATACAAGGAATGGTAATTTTTTTTGCACAACTAAAGATAATAACAATAATAAAAAAAGAGAATTATAAAAAGATAATAAAATTAAATAAATGAAAAAAAAGGGAAGGAGTACAGATGTTTATGTAAGTCAATATGGTCCTATGGTATCTAATACTTGGTCCCTTAGGCTGCAATCGATGTTTTCTTTGTCAGATGAGTGAAGCAGCAGGACTGCATCATGTTTCAGAGTGGGCAATGGAAGTGGAGCAACATATCACCCTGAGCTTAGCAGAGGCTGTGTAAAGGTTTGCCTTCAGAGTCAGGATGCGTAAAGTTTTCCTAAGCCATGGTGTAT